TTTGGCAAGAGAAGTTGTCATCTTTTTCCCTTTGGCCTACACGTGGCCTAAGAAAATACTGAGTTAATACGGAGATCACTCCGGATAGGATAAACCACATGTAATCACGTGTCAATCTTAAATATTAATTATTAATTTTTTTGTACAAATTAATTATCAATCATCATCACTGCCTGAGGAAGAGTCTATGCTACTATTTCCAATTTTAGCTTTCAGTTGTGATAATAAAAATTGTCTTGTATTTTCTGTTAGTCTCTCAGTAAACTCCTTATATTCTGTATCAGGCAATCCATCAAAACCGTTCCTATAAAAAATAATTTTTAATTTGCAATACTGTACACAATAGTACAAAATCTTGAAGTCAAAATAATAATAATTTGTAATGGCGCCACCTTTATCCTAACCTTTCTGATTTCAGTTTTTCTAAACGATTTCTGACTATTCTCTCAATCCAATGTCTTGTACTAACTGGAAGTTGAACTGATTCATTGTCCATTGGCTCAGGGTCTTTTGTCATGCTGTACACTACTGTAGATGGATACTGTCTCACAGAAATCTTTTGGATTAAACTGGTTGACTAATAATAAAGAATATGAATAAAAATATTTTAGCAATGCATTGAAATGCAAGCCTTAAAATGAGTGAATTACCATATAGGGAGTAATATTCGTGGGTCCTATATTTCGTGAGACCTACTAAAATTCCGATTTACGGATTTTAAATTTGCAGATTCTACCATGTGTTCCATGTGGGTACCGTATTAAATTGATTTTCGTAAATTTTTAATTTGCAAATCAGAAAGGAATTTGCGAAATTTGCAACCCTCAAGAATAACCACTTATACAATATGTATATGACATTCTGAGAATTACCACTTCTCTGATTCCATGAGAGGACTCCTCATTGTCTTCACTTTCTGTATCAAGTGGCTCACTATCATCCATGTAACACAGATCCTCACCTAATTTAAGGCGGATTTACAATATTACGCTAGTCCTGACGTTACGTTGACGCTGGAATAGAATCTGGTTCTATTCCAGCGGAAAGCATGCGTCAAAAGGTCAAATCGCCCACGTTTTTGATTAAAAATTGACGGTACGCTGGCCTAATGTCATATTGTAAATCCGCCTTTACTCTGTCTAATATAAAGCATTCATTATTATTATACATTATATTTGTGATTGATAATACTTTGTCATGTCTTCTAGTGTTGTTTTTGTTATGTCACAAACTCCAGAGGTTGATGTGAGAAGATCACTAATCTCCATAAGTGGGTTATCTAAATAATAATAATAATAATTAGGCCACTCCAATTTGATTCCTTGTTTCCCATTACCCGCCCGCATGGGGCCGCATCGCTATTCATTATTGCGGTTTTTCATTGATTATACAAGCAATTTATACAGCTGATAATGAATAAATTTAATGAAAATGAACAAACCCGCCCGCCCGCATCAGGCCCGCCTCTGTAATGGGAAACTATGAATCTTATTGGAGTGGCCTTAAGGGTAAAAATTGATTGAAATTCATTGATTTATAAATAAATATTAACCATATACACTGAATCCAATAGCTCCTAATGTATTAAAACTATCAAAAGGATATAAATTATCATCATCATTCTGATCATCATCATTAATTTGGAGTGTCTCCATCTTTTCCTCATCATTAATCCTCTTAGTTTCGGGGGTTGGTAAAACCGGGCTCGGGAGGGGCTCGGGCACGGGAAATGGCGGGGTAAAACAGGTGTTAGAGGGTGGTTGGACCCCCCTTCTTATGGTGGCCCAGAAGTATAATCCGTTGACGGGCCCGTTCAGTTAACCCGTCAACGGGGCCGGTAAAAATCGTGGCTGCCCCGGGGTCGGCCGTTATGAAAACGGCATAGTTACTGAATCATAGATATCTATGACTGAATCAATAGAGATAGAGAAAATGACTTCCAATAGTAGAGTAGATGGTAAGATTTAGCTTTCCTTTAAACTGTTATTTATATAGTTCTGCAGACCTAATAAAGGAGTATTTTAAGTCTGAAAGAACATACATGCTTATTCTTCAGCGTTTAAAAGAAGTTCATGGTGTTCAAAGAAGGTATAATTATTTTCTATAGACTGAGTTGTAACCGGCCTTTTTTAGTTTGATTTGGTTAAAACTTCGACTAAAGTATCTTGGTTTAAAAAGACGTGGTGGATATGCTAGTGATGACACAGTTAGAAGTGCAATTGCCAGAGAATTACGTTCTTCACCACAATTATTTGGATATCGAGCTATGTGGAGACAC